GCCATCCTCCCACCTCAGCCTCCCAAGTAGCTCGGACTACCGGTGCACATCACCGTGCTTGACTAATTTTTGTATTTTCTGTAGAGACAAGGTTTTGCCATGTTGCCCATGCAGGTTTCAAACTCCTGAGCTCAAGCAAGCTGCCTGCCTCGGCCTCCCAAAGTGGTGGGATTACAAGTGTGAGCCACCAAGCCTGGCCTATTTAATACGAACTTGTATATTCAGGTATTAAATCCCCTAGCCAGTTGTTTTTTGTTTTGTTTTTTGAGACAGAGTTTTGCTACTGTTGCCCAGGTTGGAGTGTAGTCGCACCATCTCAGCTCACTGCAACCTCCGCCTCCTGGGTTCAAGTGATTCTCCTGCCTCAGCCTCCTGAGCAGCTGGGATTACAGGGGTGCATCACCATGCCCAGCTAATTTTTTGTATTTTTAGTAGAGGCAGGGTTTCATCATGTTGGCCAAACTGGTTTCAAACTCCTGACCTCGGGTGATCCCCACCAGTCTCAGTCTCCCAAAGTACAAGGGATTATAGGCAAGAGCCACTGCGCCCAGCTGACAAACTGTTAACTTCTCACACCATAGCTTATATATATATATTTTTTTTTTTTTTTGAGACGGAGTTTCCCTCTTGTTACCCAGGCTGGAGTACAATGGCGCGATCTCGGCTCACCGCGACCTCGGTCTCCTGGGTTCAAGCAATTCTCCTGCCTCACCCTCCCAAGTAGCTGGGACTACAGGCGTGCGCCACCATGCCCAGCTAATTTTTGTATTTTTTTAGTAGAGACGGGGTTTCACCATGTTGACCAGGATGGTCTTGATGTCTTGACCTCGTGATCCACCCGTCTCAGCCTCCCAAAGTGCTGGGATCACAGGCGTGAGCCACCACACCCAGCCCACAGCTTATAAATTTTTTTTAAGAGACAGAGTCTCACTCTGTGCCTGGGTTGCAATGCACTGGCACGATCAGGGTCTCACTCTGCACCCAGTCTGGAGTGCAATGGCACAATCATAGCTCACTAGGGGCTCAAGAGTAGTGAGCTATGATTGTGCCAGTGCTTGCCTCCTGAGTAGCTGGGATCACAGGCTTGAGACACCACGCCCAGCATCACAGCTCTTGATGTGTTGCTTTCACTTAATCACATTTCCACCTTGATGTACTCAAAATGTTTTTATTAGACATCAACTTTTCTAATCACATTTGTGCTTTCTACACAAATGTGATCATTATTATTTCCTGTCACAATTTACAGACTTTCAAAAATTAATTTGGTTTCTACTGAAATAAAATGTAGACGAACACAGTAAACTAAATAATGGAAGTGAATACCTTAAAACAAAATTTATTTTAAAGTCTAGAAAGTATGCAACGTTTACCACACATAATCTCAAATTGTTTTATAGGAGGAAGAGCTTGAAAATTTCAAACATAAAATGCAACCAGAATAGAATATTATTTGGCATTAAAAAAGGAATGAGGCCAGGTGCAGTGCCTCATCCCTGTCATCCAGCATTTTGGGAGGCCAAGGCAGGCGGAACACTTGAGGTCAGGAGTTCGAGACCACCCTGGCCAACATGGTGAAACCCATTCCACCAAAAATACAAAAACTGGCCAGGCGTGGTGGCAGGAGGCTGAGGCAGAAGCACTTGAACCTGGGAAGTGGAGGTTGCAGTGAGCCAAGGCTGCACCACAGCCCTCCAGCCTGGGCAACAGGGTCTCAGTCTCCGATAAAGAAAAAATAAAAATAAAAAACAATGCTGGGCACGGTGGCTCACGCCAGTGATCCCAGCACTTTGGGAGGCCGAGGCAGGTGGATCACGAGGTCAGGAGTTGGGGAATAGCCTAGCCAACATACTGAAACCCTGTCTCTACTAAAAATACAAAAAAATTAGCTGGGCATGGTGGCGGGCACCTGTAATCCTAGCTACTCAGGAGGCTGAAGCAGGAGAATCGCTTGAACCCGGGAGGTGGAGGCTGTAGCAAGCTGAGGTCGCGCCACCACACACCAGCCTAGGTGACAATGCAACACTCTGTCTCAAAAAAAATTATAAAAATAAAGGACTGGGCACGGTGGCTCACGCCTGTAATCCCAGTACTTTGGGAGGCCGAGGTGAGCGGATCACGAGGTCAAGAGATGGAAACCATCCTGACCAACATGGCAAAACCCCGTTTCTACTAAAAATACAAAAATTAGCCGGGTGTGGTGGTGTGCACCTGTAGTCCTAGCTACTCAGGAGGCTGAGGCAGGAAAACCGATTGAACCAGTGAGGCGAAGGTTGCAATGAGTCGAGATCCCGCCATTGTACACCAGCATGGTGACAGAGCTAAACTCGGTTGAAAAAAAAGAAAAAGAGAAAGGAAGGAAGGAAGAGGAAGAGAGAAAGAGAGAGGGAGGGAGGGAGGGAGGGAAGGAGGAGGGGAGGGAAGGAAAGAGGGAAGGAAGGACGGACGGACAGATTCACTCACCAGGGCGCGGTGGCTCATGCCTGTAATCCCAGCATTCTGGGAGGCCTAGGCAGGCTGATCACGAGGTCAGGTGATCTAGACCATCCTGGCTAACACAGTGAAACCCTCCCCCGCCCCCCCTTCTCTACTCGAAAATACCAAAAAAAAATTAGCCAGGTGTGGTGGCAGGTGCCTGTAGTCCCAGCTACTCGGAAGGCTGAGGCAGGAGGATCACTTGAACCTGGGAGGTGGAGGCTGCCCTGAGCCACGATCTCGCCACTGCACTCCTGCCTGAGCTACAGAGCGAGATTCCATCTCAAAAAAAAAAAAAAGAAGGGGGGTGGGGAATGAAGTCCTGATACATTCTACAACATGGATGAACAATGAAAACACCATGTTCAGCGAAACAAACCAGGCAAAGAAAGACACATATTATATGATTCTTTTTTTTTTTTTGAGACGGAGTTTCGCTCTTGTTGCCCAGGCTGGAGTGCAATGGTGCAATCTCGGCTCACCGCAACCTCCGCCTCCTGGGTTCAGGCAATTCTCCTGCCTCAGCCTCCTGAGTTCAGGCAATTCTCCTGCCTCAGCCTCCTGAGTAGCTGGGATTACAGGCACACGCCACCATGACCAGTTAATTTTTTTTGTATTTTTAGTAGAGACGGGGTTTCACCATGTTGACCAGGATGGTCTCGATCTCTTGATCTCGTGATCCACCCGCCTTGGCCTCCCAAAGTGCTGGGATTACAGGCTTGAGCCACCGTGCCCGGCCTGTATGATTCTTTTTAATAGGCAAATCTAGACAGAAAATATACTGGCGGTTACCTGAGGCTGGCAGGGAGAGGGAATGGGGAGTGACTGCTAAATGGCTTCTAGAGATTCTTTCTGGGATGACGAATTAAATAGTGGTTGATGGCTATAGAACTTAATGAAGTTTTGAGTATCAATGAATTATATGCTTTAGAAAGCTGAATTTTTTGGTATGTGAATCATTTCAATAAAACTATTATTTAATTTTTTTAAGTTGCCACTGAAAAGCCACAATAATTTTGTTGGCAAAGGAAATCATGAAGTCACTAAAAAACTAACCTGTCATGTTAGCCAGGTCAACCTCCAAATTCCTTCTCCCATTCTTAACAAGTACATGAAACTAGAGACTGAATCAAAGAATTCCAGACACAGTTGGCTGTTAACTAGAATAGTAAGTGGCTTCCTGGGCTCTGTCACTAATAAACTGTAGGGGGCTTCCAGCCTCGGTGATTACGGAAGTAGTACTTTTCATCAGCAAGCTCAAGAAGGAATGTCAAAATAGGATGACACTTGCCTGGTAGCTCTACAAAAAACTGAAAAACCAGAAGGGGTGTCACCTACACACTCCCAAGTCTATGCAGGTGTCAGCCTGCCCCCACCCAACACCCGCCAGCAGCGTGCACCATTCAACCACATCTCAACTTGCTCCTTACAAATTGACACTTACACTAAAAAGTCCTTAGATCTCATTTGTTTAAAATGACAAGATATACACCCCTCACAGGGTTCTCACTCAACGCCTTCCAGCCTCCGCCCTGCCCCTGCCCACCCCCAAACCTACACACGTGTTAGCCCGACACCGCCCCACCGGGTCCCACGTGCACCTGGTCTAACACACTCCCCACGTGTGGGCGCCCCACGGGCTTCCTCAGGTAGCTGAGGTCAACGCGTGACCCCCAGGTCTCTCGAGATATGAGACGGGAAGGACTAGGCCCTAAGTCCCTGAGGTCCCAACCCTGCGGGGAGTGTCCACACCCATCCTCCATACTAACCCCAACAAATCGAAGGGCCGGGGGCGACGGCCCCTTTAAGACGCGGCCCAGTTGTAGCCCGCAAAGAGGGGCGCAACAAGGCCTACACAACCCCCACTCCGTTCGCCCGCCCACGTCTAGTCGCCTCACCTCGGGCCGCCGGGCCCCGCCGCCGCGGCGGCGGCGGAGGGGGGGCGGAGTGCGGGCGGGGTCCGGAGGGGGGGGTCGCCCCGCCGACGGTGGAGCCGCGGTTCGCTCTCTGAGGCCGTGGGACGGTGACTGCGTTGGGCGTGGACGCTCCTAGCTCGCTCCCTCCGCGGCTCCTGGGACCCCAAGATGGCGGCGGCGCTGAGGCGGCTGCGGGCGCTGGGCCGGCGGCGGCGGCGGCCACTTTCACTCACTGAGAGGAGCGGAGCAGGGACACGGGGAGCCATGGCGGGGGGGAGGAGAGGCGCCATAGCCAGGCCAGAACAATCGAGCCGCTACTCGGGTGGCTTACCCCCGCCCCGCCCACACTCACTGCTCGTCGCCTGCCCGTGGCCACCCGCAGTACCGCTGCCGTCGGCCTCGTGCAGCTTGCACCCCGCCGCTGCCGCCTGACGCCCGGTGCGGACCGGGGTTCCAGGGGAGACCCTGATCCATGCTATCTGAGTACAGATTGGTCGAGGCTGGGACTGGCGAAGATTGCCGAAAGGCAGCGGGGAGGAGGAGGAGGATGTCATCGCTACAGTGAGCAAGCAGATCTCGCGGGAGGAAATGTCGCGAGAGCTTTGTAGGCCCACAACTGCCGAAGCAATGTTACTTTTCCCGGAAGTAACGTCGATTGAAACCGCCCGGGATCCTGGGAATATTTGTGCCCGCAAGCTAGAGGTGGAAAAGTGTCGCCAAATTGACAACTTGAGGGGAAGGAAAGGTTCGCGGCTGGTATTTTATTACCAGTTTCTGACCCCTTTGGGTGGGGTTGTAGATTGTCGGGAAGTGCCTGGTGTGTACTCTACTATACAGTAATTAGTTTGGGGCTGCCATTTAGACTCTGGGACCAAGAGCGCGATAGGTTAGGTAAGAGAGCATAGTTAGATAATATGTCTAAGTGAAGGTTTTAGGATACAAGGACTTGGGAACACGCAGACGTCTTGTCGGAAATGCCAACCTGTTCTCACATCCACACACTATGCCTCTGAAAAGTGAATAATTGCCTTTACCTATGCCAACAATACAATTTGAGTCCGCTGCCACCCACGTTTTCTAAACTTGGGGGAAGGGTCTCGCCATGTTGCCCAGTCTCCTGGCCTGAGGTGATCCAGGCAGGAGGATCACCTCAGGCCGGGAATTTAGAGCAGTCCGTTAGACTGGCCGACATGGGGAGACCCCATCTCTATAAAAAATAAAAAATAGGCCAGACCTGTAATCCCAGAGCTTTGGAAGGCTGAGGCGGATGGATCACCTGAGGTCAGGAGTTGACCAGGCTGGCCAACATGGCAAAAACCCCATCTCTACTAAAAATACAAAAAAGAAAGAAAGAAAGAGAAGAAATGTAATCGACTCAACTACCAGGATTTGTGGTGAGAATTATCTAGTGGAAAGCCTAGGTGTAGATAAGAATTCTAACTTACTAAAAGTTAAATATGCCGTTATTTCCGTTCGTTTGTGTCTAATTTTTTTTTTTTTTTTTTTTTTGGTCTTTTTGGTGGTTCCCCCCCCCCTTTTTGTGGAGAACGGGATCTCACTATACTGCCCAGGCAGGTTCCAAACTCCTGGGCTCAAGCTATCCTCCTGCCTCTGACTCTAAGAGTCGGGATTACAGGTGTGAGCCACAGCGCCCGGCTGTGTCTCATTTTTTAATCCATTTCCATCTGGCCCTTAGCATTTATCGGAAAAGTATTTGTCTAAGGTAATCAAGTAGCCTTCTTGTGCTGAATTAACTGGGCTTTAAAAAGTTAAATTTGTTGCTAGGCACAGTGGCTCACGCCTGTAATCCCAGCAATTTGAGAGGCAGATTTGATGTCAGGAGTTTGAGGCCAGCTTGGTCAACATGGTGAAATCCATCTTTTTAGTAAAGTACAGAAATTTAGAAAAAAAGAAAAGTACAGAAATTAGCTGGGCATGGTAGTGCATGCCTGTAATCCCAACTACTCAAGAATCTGAAGCAGGAGAATTGCTTGAACCCAGGAGGCAGAGGTTACTATGAGCTGAGATTGCACTACTGCACTCCAGCCTGGGCAACAGAGCAAGACTCTGTCTCAAAAAATAAATAAAGAAAGAAAACCAACTAGCATAATGTTTGAGTAGCAATGAGCTGTTCTGACTGGAGCATAAACCAAAAGAAAAAGAAAAAAGAAAGATAAGTCACTAAGTTAGCAAAATAACAAGCTGTAGATTCCTCTAAAGTTCAAATGTAGGTTGTCTATTATATTAGGTTTTTATTGCTTGGCTAAAAAATTACTACAGTATGGTGGCTTAACATAACATACATTTATTATCTTACAGTTCTGTAGTTGGGAAGTCTGACATGGGTCTCACTGGTCTAAAATCACTGTTGTTTAAAATACATTAGAAAATATGCCCAGGCACAGTGGCTCATGCCTGTAATCCCAGCACTTTGGGAGACCAAGGCAGGAGGATCACTTGAAGTCAGGAGTTAGAGACCAGCCTGGCCAACATGGTGAAACCCTGACTCTACTAAAAAAATGCAAAAATTAGCTGGGTGTGGTGGCTCACACTTGTAGTCCTAGCTACTTGGGAGGCTGAGGTGAGAGGGTTGCTTGAACTTGAAAGTCAGGGATAGTAGTCAGCCTAGATTGCACCACTCTCCTCCAGCCTGGGCGACAGAGCAAGACTCCATCTCAAAAAATAATAATAGGCTGGGTATGGTGGCTCACACCTTTAATCCCAGCACTTTGGGAGGCCAAGGCAGGAAGATCAGGAGGTCAGGAGTTTGAGACCAGCCTGGCCAATATGGTGAAATCCCGTCTCTACTAAAAATACAAAAATTAGCAGGGCATGGTGCTGTAATCCCAGCTACTCAGGATACTGAGGCAGGAAAATAGCTTGAACTCGGGAAGCGGAGGTTGCAATGAGCCATTGCACTTCAGCCTGGGTGACAGAGTAAGACTGTGTCTCAAAAAAAAACTATTGTCTTCATTGATCATAATCTCTGTGTCATTTGACTTTGTTGTCATACCTTCCTTCATAATTAGTTCTTTTGAAGCCTTTTAAATGGAACATCTGTTTGCAATTGCAGGCAGTATATGTTTCCTGCTTTTTTCCAGAGTATTTTTTTCCAGTGTTTTTTTACAAGTCTCATAATATGTTTGTGGGAAACTGGTGTATTTAAAACAATATACTAGGGCCAGGCACAGTGGCTCATGCCTGTAATCGCAGCACTTTGGGAGGGTGAGGTGGGTGGATCACGAGGTCAGTAGTTCAAGACCAGACTGGCCAACATGGTGAAACCCGGTCTCTACTAAAAAATACAAAAATTAGCTGGGCATGGTGGCTCATGCCTGTAATCCCAGCTACTTGGGAGGCTGAGGTAGGAGAACTGCTTAAACCGGGACCCAGGAGGCAGAGGTTGCCGTGAGCCGAGATCATGCCACTGCGCTCCATCCTGGGCTACAGAGCGAGACTCCATCTCAAAATAATAATAATAATAATAATAATATATTGGGCCAGGTACAGTGGCGCACACCTGTAATCCCAGAATTTTGGGAGGCTGAGGTTAACAAATTGCTTGAGCACTGGAGTTCAAGACCAGCTTGAGCAACATGATAAAACCTTGTCTTTACAAAAACACAGAAATTAATCAGGTATGGTGGTGCATGCCTGTAGTGTCAGCTTCTTGGGAGGCTGAGGCAGGAGGATTGCTTGAGCCCAATAGATCAAGACTGCAGTGAGCCAGGATCGCACCTCTGTACTCCAGCCTGGCCCACAGAGTGAAACCCTGTAAAAATAAATAATAAAATAATATAGTAACTCTTGGGTACTGATCTGCTATTAAAGGGCTGGTTCTGTTATTTGCTTTTTATTTGCTTAGTGACTGGGTGGAATGCTTTAGTGCAACCTATTCCCTACTCCAAACAGCTTTTTTTTTTTCCTTTTCTGAACGAAGTCTCCCTCTGTAGCCCAGGCTGGAGTGCAGTGGCTTGATCTCAACTCACTGCAACCTCCGCCTCCCGGGTTTAAGCGATTCTCCATCCTCAGCCTCCTGAGTAGCTGGGACTACAGGTGCCAGCCACTACACCCTGGCTAATTTTTTGTATTTTTAATAGAGACAGGGTTTCACTGTGTTGGCCAGGATGGGCTTGATCTCCTGACCTTGTGATCAACCTGCCTCAGCCTCCCAAAGTGCTGGGATTACAGGCATGAGCCACCATGCCTGGCCTTTTTTGAGACAGAGTCTGACTTTTGCCCAGGCTAGAGTGCAGTGCTGCCATCTCGACTCGCTGCAACATCTGCCTGCCAGGTTCAAGCAATTCTCCTGCCTCCGCCTCCTAAGTGGCTGGGATTACAGGCACGCACCACCATGCCCAGGTAATGTTTGTATTTTTAGTAGAAACAGGGTTCACCATCTTGGCCAGGCTGGTCTTGAACTCCTGACCTCAGGTGATCTGCCGGCCTCAGCCTCAAAAAGTACTAGGATCACAGACGTTGGCCACTGTACCCAGGCTCCTACTCCCAACAGTTCTAAGCCTCTGATCTTCGTTCCCCAGGTCCCGCAATCTGGGATATGTCTACAGTCACCCTGGGATAACAAAGATTTTGGCAGGGATCTCTTTGACTCTTTTCCCTGAGCACTTCTAGCTGTTAAATTCCATTCACTACTGATTGCTCTATTCCTTTCAGTAATGCCCTTGTTCACAAATTCCTTCTCAGAAATAATCCAATCAAATTCAGGCTCCTTTAAGGAGATTGTTGTCAAGGTCAAGGTTTGAGATTCGTTCAGTCCCAAGGCAGGCTTCTCCAAACGTCTACTTTTCCTATTCTCTTGGGCACATTAGCCAACCTACATTTTAGTCTGTATATCCAACGACTCCTCCCAATTGCCTCATCACAACTTCCATTATTTTTAAGAGAACCCTTAGGCTTAAATTCTCCCACTCTGTTGCAAATTAAGTCAGTCCTTCTGGGAAGAGATGAGGAGCTGCTTGCTTCCCTCCCCAACCCCCACTTCGCCCTTTTCTTTTAGGAGATACTTGTTTTAAAACTTGCTGCTCCTGCCAGGCAAAATCTCTAGGCCAAGTCTCTGAAGTGTGGGAGAGACAATAACATAATTCTCCAAATGATTTTTCTGACTAGGAGCTGAGAACTCAGTGGATGCGGTGTAGAAGCCACAGGTGTTGGTTTGCCTCAGTGTGGGACCACCTTCAGAACCACTACTAAAGCAATGAATGCCTCAGTGTTCTCAGCACAGCCACCCCCAAGGTACAGCCTCTGTCCCACAGCAAGGGCCAGGGAGAAGAAAGAACCCCTGCACATTAGCCCAGAATTTGGTATCAGCAACAGGTAGGTGGGAGCTGGATGAGAACTGCTGACGTCTTGCCCTTACCAGGAAGATGGCTCTCCAACTGGAAGCTAGGGAGAGAGGAAGCCCTGTGGTCTTGGCTGCACCACCCTGGAGTGGAGTCTCTACTTGGCTAAACTGGAAGGGGAGAGGAGGGAAATGAATTCTGGTTAAAACACCACACCATTCATTACATAGAAGTGGACCATCATAAAGGTCTTCATCCTCATTGCTTTCACACTGATAGGCTAAGGAGAAGGAGAAGGAAGAAGAGAAGGGTCTTACTGTCTTGGGGTGGCGGAGAGATGAAGAAAATTCATATGTACATGGATCTGTGCAGATCAAATCTGTGTTGGTCAAGGGTCAACTGTATATAAAAATTATATTTTCATATAATAGAAACAAATAATTGAAAGTTAAAATATTTAAAATACAGTTTATAATAACAAGCCATGAAATATTTGGTGTGGATGTTTGTCCCCACAAAATCTGATGTTGCAATGTGATTCCGAATGTTGGAGCTGGGGCCTCAGGAGAGGTAATTGGATCATGGGGGTGGATTTATCACACATGGGTTAGCATTATCCCCGTGGTGATAAGTGAGTTCCCCTTATGAGATCTGGTTGTTTAAAACTGTATGGCACAGGCCAGGTGCAGTGGCTCATACCTGTAATCCCAGCACTTTGGGAGGATGAGGTGGGTAGATCACCTGAAGTTGATAGTTTGAGACCAGCCTGACAAACATGGAGGAACGCCATCTCTACTAAAAATGCAAAATTAGCCAAGCATGGTGGCACATGTCTATAATCCCGGCTACTCGGGAGGCTGAGGCAGGAGAATTGCTTAAACCCAGGAGGCAGAGGTTTCATTGAGCCTTGATCACACCATTGCATTCCAGCCTGGGCAAAAAGAGTGAAACTCTGTCTCAAAAAAAAAAAAAGGTTGATGTCCTAGGCTAGGGTGCCTATAATCCCAGCTACTAAGGAGGCTGAGGCACGAGCATCACTTGAAGCCAGGCGGCAGAGGCTGCAATGAGCTGAGATTGTGCCACTGCACTCCAGCCTGGGCAATAAGAGCGAAACTCCATCTCAAAAAACAGAAAAAAAAAATTTATGTCCTTGGGAGGCTGAGGCAGGAGAATTGCTTGAACCAGGGAGGCAGAGGTTGCAGTGAGCCAAGATCGCACCACTGCACTCCAGCCTGGCGCCTGGCGACAGAACAAGACTCTGTCTCATTAAAAAAAAAAAAAAAAAAAGATTATGTTATAGTTTATTATACTGAAAAAAAAATTATAGATGTAGACTTACATATTTTGGTCAATTGATTGTCATCAAAGGTTCCAAGGTGATTCAATGAAGAAAAAATAAACTTTTCTAAATTGATTGTAGGAATAATTGGCTATTCATATACAAAATAATGTGCCTTGACCCTTGACTTGGAACAGCCAGAAAAAATTAATTTGAAATGGATCATAGACCCAAATCTCTAAAACCTAAAAGAAAACCTCTAGAAGAAAATACTAGAGGAAATAATTGTGATCTTGAGTTAGACAATGATTTCATTCAGCGGATACAAAAACAATAGCTGGTTTCAAAAAAAAAAAAACTGTAATAAATTAGACTTCATCAAGATTAAAATCTCCTATACTTGGAAAGACATTTTTTGTTTGTTTGTTTTTTTTTGAAATGGAGTCTTCCTCTTGCTTATGCTGAAGGGCAGTGGCTCGATCTTGGTTCACTGTAACTTCCACCTCCCGGGTTCAAGCGATTCTCCTGCCTCAGCCTCCTGAGTAGCTGGGACTACAGGCATGTGCCACCATGTCTGGCTAATTTTGTATATTTAGTAGGGATAGAGTTTCACCATGTTGCTCAGGCTGGTCTCAAACTCCTGACCTCAGGTGATCTGCCTGCCTTGGCCTCCCAAAGTGCTGGGATTACAGGCATAAGCCAACTCGCCCCACCATGTCTGGGCTGAGATCATGTCTGAGCTGAGATTGTACCATTGCACTGCACCCTGGGCAACAAAACTGAAAAACTTTGTCTCAAAATAAGTAAATAAATAAATAATAAAAATAAAATGAATTTACAGACTATGAAAAAATATTTTCAAAATACTTGCTTTAAAGTGTTCTTGCCGGACGCAGTGGCTCATGCCTATAATCCCAGGACTTTGGGAGGTCGAGGCAGGTGGATCACGAGGTCAAGAGATTGAGACCATCCTGGTCAACAAGGTGAAACCCTGTCTCTACTAAAAATACAAAAATTAGCTGGGCATGGTGGTGTGCACCTGTAGTCCCAGCTGCTCGGGAGGCTGAGGCAGGAGGATTGCTTGAACCCAGGAGGTTGCGGTGAGCCAAGATTGTGCCATTGCACTCCAGTGTGGGTAACAAGAGCCAGACTCTGTCTCAAAAAAAAAAAAAAAAAAAAAGAATATGTATGTATGTGACATTTTGGGCTGGGTGAGAAAAATAAATATTAAAATTAAAAAATTTTAAAAATAAGAATATATATGTATGGCCAGTAAACACATTAAAAATGCACACCATTTTTAAAGAAAATGCAAATTGAACCTCTAGAATGATTAAGTTAAAAAAGACTGACCTCGACCGGGAACGGTGGCTCTCCTCTGTAATCCCAACATTTTGGGAGCCTGAGAGGGCAGATCACCTAAGGTCTGGAGTTTGAGACCAGCCTTACCAACATGGAGAAACCCCATCCCTACTAAAAATACAAAATTAGCCGGGCTTGGTAGCACATGCCTGTGATCCCAGCTACTTGGGAGGCTGAGGCAGGAGAAGCCCTTGAACTCAAGAGGCAGAGCTTACAGTGAGCCAAGATCTTGCCATTGCACTCCAGCCTGGGCAACAGGAGCAAAACTGCATCTTAAAAAAAGAAAAAAAAGGCCGGGCGAGGTGGCTTAAGCCTGTAATCCCAGCACTTTGGGAGGCCGAGGTGGGTGGATCATGAGGTCAGGAGATGGAGACCATCCTGGTCAACATGGTGAAACCCCGTCTCTACTAAAAATACAAAAATTAGCTGGGCACGGTGGTGCATGCCTGTAGTCCCAGCTACTCGGAGGCTGAGGCAGAAGAATTGCCTGAACCCAGGAGGCAGAGGTTGCAGTGAGCCAATATCGCGCCATTACACTCCAGCCTGGGCAACAAGAGCAAAACTCCGTCTCAAAAAAAAAAAGGAAAGAAAAAAAAAAAGACTGAGCACGCCCACTGGTTTACCCTTATATATATAATCTCAGCAGTTTGGGAGACTGAGGCCGGCGTATCACCTGGGGCTGGGAGTTCGAGACCAGCCATGACCAACATGGCGAAACCTTGTCTCTACTAAAAATACAAAAATTAACCAGGCATAGTGGTAGACATCAGTAATCCCTGCCACTTGGGAAGCTGAGGCAGGAGAATCACTTGAACCCAGGAGGTGGAGATTATGGTGAGCTGAGATCACCCCACTGCACTCCAGCCTGGGCAACAGAGCCAGACTCTGCCTAAAAAAAAAAAAAAAAGTTATATGAGAGGCCGGGCATGGTGGTTTACGCCTATAATCCTAGCACATTGGCAGGCCAAGGTAGGTGGATCACCTGAAGTCAGGAGTTCCAGACCAGCCTGGCCAAAGTGACAAAACCCTATCTCTACTAAAAATACAAAAATTGGCTGGGCATGGTGGCTCACGCCTGTAATCCCAGCACTTTGGGAGGCCGAGGTGGGTGGATCACCTGAGGTCAGGAGTTAAAGACCAGCCTAGCCATCATGGTGAAACCCCATCTTTATTAAAAAAAAGAAAAAAAGTAAAAAAAAGAAAAAAAATTTAGCTGGGCTTGGTGGTGGGCGCCTGCAATCCCAGCTACTCAGGAGGCTGAGGCAGACTATTGCTTGAACCCCGGAGGCGGAGGTAGCAGTGAGCCAAGATCAAGCCACTGCACTGCAGCCTGGGCAACAGAGTCAGACTTCGTCTGAAAACAAAACAAAAAAAATTAGGCATGGTGGCACATGGCTGTAATCTCAGTTACATGGGAGGCTGAGGCAGGAGAATTGCTTGAACCTGGTGGGTTGAGGTTGCAGTGAGCTGGGATTGCGACATTTCACTCCAGCATGGTTGAAAGAGCGAAACTCTGTCTCGAAAAAAAAAAAAAAAATTATATGGGGAGGTTTTTGACTGGGCAGTAAATCAGTGGCCCTAATGCCTGCGTTGCTCAACAGTCAACTGTATTAACTTTGTGTCCTACAATGTTTTAATTGTCACTTATTAGTTCTAGTAGATCTTTGTAAGTTTTTTGAAATTTTCCTTTTTTTTTTTTGAGATGTAGTTTTGCTCTTGTTGTCCAGGCTGGAGTGCAGTAGTGTGATCTTGACTCACTGCAACCTCCGCCTCCTGGGTTCAAGTGATTCTCCTGCCTGAGATGCCCTAGTAGCAGGGATTACAGTAGCCCACCACCACACCCAGCTAATTTTGTAGTTTTAGTAGAGACAGAGTTTTACCATGTTGGCTAGGCTGGTCTTGAACTCCTGACCTCAACTCTGACTCACCCAACTTGGCCTCCCAAAGTGCTGGGATTACAGGTATGAGCCACCATGCCTGGACGGGTTTTTTGGATTTTCTACATAGATGGTATGTTTTCTCTTTTTAACTTTTTTTTGACATTTTCTTTTTTTTTTTTTTTTTTTTTTTTGAGACAAGGTCTTGCTCTGTCACACAGAGTCCCCAGCTGGAGGGCAATGATGCAGTCATGGCTCACTGCAGCCACAACTTCCTGGGCTTAAGTGATACTCCCACCTCAGGCTCTTGAGTGTCTGGGACTACAGGTTGCGCCACCATACCTGGCTAATTTTTGTATATTTTATAGAGATGGGGTTTTGCCATGTTGCCTGGTCTTAAACTCCTGTACTCAAGACCATGTTGCCTGGTCTTGAACTCCTGGAAAACCAAAGTGTTCAGATTACAGGCGTGAGCCCCCATACCCCAAAGATACGTCGTCTTTGAATAAAGACTGTAACAAGTCTTATTCAAAGATGGGAAGAAAACCAGGTGTGGTGGCTCAAGCCTGTAATCTTAACACTTTGGGAGGCCAAGGCAGGTGGATCACCTTAGGTCAGGAGTTCAAGACCAGGCTGGACAACATGGTGAAACCCCCTGTCTCTACTAAAATTACAAAATTAGCTGGGTGTGGTTGCAGGTGCCTGTAATCCTAGCTACTTGGGAGGCTGAGGCAGAAGAATCACTTGAACTTGGGAGGTGGAGCTTGCTGTGAGCTGAGATCCAGCCTGGACAATAGAGTGAGACTCCTCCTCAAAAAGAAAAAAAAGAAGGTAAGATAGGGATATAGGAATCACTTAAAGGAGTATCCTGCTGGCCAAACCTAAGACTGTTTGATCATCAAAATAAAGAATGATAGTAAATAATTATTACTTATAAGAATCTATACGTTGCCGGGCGCGGTGGCTCAAGCCTGTAATCCCAGCACTTTGGGAGGCCGAGGCGGGTGGATCACGAGGTCGAGAGATCGAGACCAACCTGGTCAACATGGTGAAACCCCGTCTCTACTAAAATACAAAAAATTAGCTGGGCATGGTGGCGCGTGCCTGTAATCCCAGCTACTCAGGAGGCTGAGGCAGGAGAATTGCCTGAACCCAGGAGGCGGAAGTTGCGGTGAGCCGAGATCGCGCCATTGCACTCCAGCCTGGGTAACAAGAGCGAAACTCCATCTCAAAAAAAAAAAAAAAAAAGAATCTATACGTGGACATAAATATGTACATAAATGAATAAATAATGAATGAATGAATAAATGAAGGAGAAGATAAATTTCTTTTTTTTTTTTTTTTTTTTTAACAGGGTTTCACCATGTTGGTGAGACTGGTCTAGAACGCCTGACCTCAGGTAATCCACCCACCCTGGCCTCCCAAAGTGCTGGGATTACAGGCGTGAGCCACCACACCCAGCCTCTTTTTTTTTTTAAAGATAGAATCGAGATCTGTCACCCAGGCTGGAGTGTAGTGGAGTGATCTTAGCTCACTACAACCTCCACCTCCTGGGTTCAAGCAATTCTCCTGCCTCATCCTCCCATGTACCTGCGATTACAGGCAGGCACCACCATGCCTGGCTAATTTTTTTGTATTTTTAGTAGAGACAGGGTTTCACATTGTTGGCCAGGCTGGTCTTGAACGCCTGACCTCAAGTGATTGGCCCGCCTTGGCATTCCAAAGTGCTGATATTACAGGCATGAGCCACCACGCCTGACCAGAAAGTTCTTTCAGGAAAATCCAAAATAATAAGTGAAGAAGGAATAATGGAATTGGAAAATCACTATTTGGTAACCATCATAATAACTGATTGAGTTATCAGTGTATCACTGGATGCTGTACAATGCTAAAACTAGTGGGTAAAAGTTTAAGGAGTCTGGGCGTGGTGGCTCACATACAGGCTCACGCCTGTAATCCCAGCACTTTGGGAGGTGAAGGTCAGTAGATCAAGACCATCCTGGCCAACATGGTGAAACTGTCTTTACTGAAAAACACAAAAATTAGCCAGGTGTGGCAGCACATACCTGCAGTCCCAGCTACTCAGGAGGCTGAGGCAGGAGAAATGCTTGAACCCAGGAGGCGGAGGCTGCAGTGAACCAAGATTGCACCACTGCACTCCAGCCTGGGCGACAGAGTGAGAAGACTCTGTCTAAAAAAAAAAAAAAAAGTTTAAGGACCAAGAAGATGTTTACACAATCTCAACTATCTCCCTGCAAGATACTTATTAACTATAAAAGGTAAAATAGTAACTTCACAGTGGAGAAGCCTGGCAAACATCATCTTTACCAAGTGATCAAAGCTAATAAAGTTAACATCACTTATAATGACACTGATTGACAGCATGTGTTTTCTGATATGATGCACTGAAAAGAACTCAGCATCACTTCTTCCAAATTACAGCTAAATTAACTCAAATCTAATCATGAGGGAATATCATAGAAACAAATTGAGAAATATTAACTTGAGAAATAACTGGGTTTTGAGGAAGGCAGAGTAGATAAACTTTTCCCTAGTCCTCCCACTAATTACAACTAAAACTCCTAGACACTGTATGTGGAAAGTAGAAAAATTCCTCTTCAAAGTTTTCTTTCTTGTTTAAGAAAAATTCATGCTGGGTGCGGTGGCTCACGCCTGTAATCCCAGCACTTTGGGAGGCTGAGATGGATGGATCACAAGGTCAAGAGATCAAGACCATCCTGAAAGGATCAAGAGATCAAGACCATCACCAACATGGTGAAACCCCATCTCTACTAAAAATACAAAAAATTAGCTAGGCATGGTGGCACGTGCCTATAGTCCCAGCTACTCGGGAGGCTGAGTTAGGAGAATTGCCTGAACCCAGGAGGCGGAGGTTGCGGTGAGCCGAGATCGCGCCATTGCACTCCAGCCTGGGTAACGAGAGCGAAACTCCATCTCAAAAAAAAAAAAAGAAAAGAAAAATTCATAAATGTTAGAAATAATAGTTTGTTTTAAACACCTTCTTCAAAAGCCTTCTTGCTTTTTTGCTGGAAGCCCTATCCTATGTAGCTGTCAGACATGCTTCTAGGCATGTAGTACATTCTACGTCCTTGTACTTTAACCAAGATATCTGTGCTGGACATGTTCACAGGCATGTCCCAGCTTGAAGCCTATGCCCCTTCTTTGTTTGGACTTCCTTTTTTTTTTTTTTTTTTTGCTTCTCATTGCTTTTACCTGTTTAGAAAAGTTTCAAGTTATTAGCCTATTGGGTTTAAGTTTAGATTGTGAGGTCTGGCTCCAGCCAGTGGAGATCAAACACAATAGTAAGGACAATCCCAAATGCATAAGAAATAAATATGTCTGGCTTTCTTTGTTCATTGTACTCTCATGGCAAGATTGCTAACAGGAGGGCCCTTTCTGCAGGAAGTAAAAAGAATTGCATTACTGAGAGATCCTTTGCCCCAGTACTAATTTTTCTTTGTGGCACCAAAGGAAAAATTTTATACATAACATTCTATTTAAAATCAACATGCCTATGATCCCAGCACTTTGGGAGGCTGAGGCAGGCAGATCACAAGGTCAAGAGATCCAGACCATCCTGGCCAAGGAGGTGAAACCCAGTGTCTACTAAAAATACAAAAAATTATCTGGGTGTGGGGGCAAACACCTGTAATCCCAGCTACTCCGGAGGCTGAGGCAGGAGAATCGCTTGAACTCGGGAGGTAGAGGTTGCAGTGAGCCGAGATCTTGCCACTCCAGAGTGAGACTTTGTTTCAAAAAAAAAAGAAAGTCAACCTAAAACTCTGAAAGGTGGAAAACAAACAGAACAGCCAGGAACCTCAGGGCTCAAGGAACAACACTGCAGTGTCTCCTGTTTTGTTTTTGTTTCATATCTCAGACTTGGATCTAAACAAGTTAGCAACTATGGGCTGCGTGCCATGGCTCACGCCTGTAATCCTAGCACTTTAGGAGGCTGAGGGGAGCGGGTCGCCTGAGGTCAGGAGTTCAAGACCAGCCTAGCCAACATGGTGAAACCCCATCTGTACTAAAAATACAAAAATTAGCCCACTGAAACAAATGCTTGTAGACAAAAAGACCCCAATGAAACTTGGCTGTCTTGCCAAACAACCAGGAAAGGTGCAGCCTAGTAAGAGAACATTTTTACATGATATCTACTCTACTCCAGCCAAATACCACAGTAAAAACTTGCCTAGCCCATATTCTTGTCATCAAAGTCTGAGTGTGGAGCCTAGACTTCTACAATTGAAGACTGTACCAAGGTGTCCAACACCCCTGCCAAGCAGGGAAAGGCAGAGGGAGCCAGGACTTTCATTACCATCTGGGAATAACAAGGACTCCTACCCGCATAGCCTCAATGAAAACCATGTGGTTATCTGGAACTATAAGCCACATATCAACGTAAAGCAAGCAAGGAATCTGGACTCCTACCTCTACATGACAGTAATGAAATTGTCTCCTCTCCTCCCCTTCCCTGCCTGGAATGGTGTCAGAGAAAGCTAACTAAAAAAGATTTAGGCCAGGTGCGGTGGCTCACACCTGTGATCCCAGCACTTTGGGAGGCCGAGGTGGTGGATCACGAGGTCAGGAGTTGAAGACCAACCTGGCCAATATGATAAAAGCCCATCTCTACTAAAAAATACCAAAATTAGCCAGGCGTGTTGTGTGCGCCTGTAGTCCCAGCTATTCCAGAGGCTGAGGCAGGAGAATTGCTGGAACCTGGGAGGCAAAGTTGCAGTGAAGTAAGATGGTAACACTGCACTCCAGCCTGGGTGACAGAGCAAGAGTCTGTCTCACAAAATAATAATAGATTTAAATAAGCCTAGAGTCTTATTTTAAGATATAATGTGAAAATGTCTAGGTTTCTATGCAGAAGCACCAAGAACCAGGAAAATCTTAAATTGAATGAAAAAAGACAATCACTGGGCTGGGCGCGGTGGCTCACGCCTGTAATCCCAGCACATTGGGAGGCCAAGGCGGGTGGATCACGAGGTCAAGAGATCGAGACCATCCTGGTCAACGTGGTGAAACCCTGTCTCTACTAAAAATACAAAAAAATAGCTGGGCTCGGTGGCATGTGCCTGTAATCCCAGCTACTCAGGAGGCTGAGGCAGGAGAATTGCCTGACCCCAGGAGGCGGAGGTTGCAGTGAGCCGAGATCGCGCCATTGCACTCCAGCCTGGGTAACAAGAGCAAAACTCCGTCTCAAAAACAAAAAAGAAAAAAGATAATCACTAGAAGTCAACACCAAGATGACAGATATAATACATTATTTATAGAGAAAAAGTAATTCAAATGACAGTGAACTTAGAGCCCAGATCATGCGAAAAAAGTAAAAATTAAAAAAAAAAAAAGAAATGACAGTGAATTTCTTATCAGAAACCATGGGAGTCAGAAGAAAGTAGCAAAATATTTCTCTAGTGATGAAAGAACTGACAACTTAGAATCCTATACCCAATGAAAATGTCCTTCAAGGACATTCAAGAAATGGAATGAAAGATCAAACACAACTCAAGAGGAGAGAGGAGCCAGGTGCAGTGCCTCATGCCTGTATGACAGCACTTTGGGAGGTTGAGGTGGATAAACCACCTGAGGTCAAGGGTTATGGACCATCCTAGCCAACATGGTGAAACCCTATCTGTACTAAAAATATAAAAATCAGCCGGGTGTGGTGGTGCACGCCTGTAATCCCAGCTACTCAGAAGGCGGAGGCAGAAGGCGGATTCCAGAAATGGAAAATCAAGACATTGTCAAATGAAGGATAACATTGTCTGATGAAGAGAATTCATAGTAATCAAACCTGTCTTGAAAGAATAGGCCAGGTGCTATGGCTGATGCCTGTAATCCCAGCACTTTATCAGGCCAAGGTGGGCAAATCACCTGAGGTCAGGAGTTTGAGACAAGCTTGGTCAACATGGTGAAATCCCGTCTCTACTAAAAATACAAAAATTAGCCAGGCATGGTGATGCACACTTTTAATCCCAGCTACTCAGGAGGCTGAGGCAGGAAAATCATTTGAACCTGGTGGACGGAGGTTGCAGTGAGCCCAGATGGTGCCACTGCACTGCAGCCTGGATGACAGAGTAAGACTCGATCTCAAAAAAAGAAAATAGGCTGGCCTGGTGGCTCATGCCTGTAATCCCAGCACTTTGGGAGGCCAAAGCAGGCTGATCACAAGGTCAGGAGTTCGAGACCAGCCTGGCCAACATGGTGAAACCGCATTTCTACGAAAAATACAAAAAGTAGCCAGGTGTGGTGGTGCATGCCTATAATCCCAGCTTCCAGGGAGTCTGAGGCAGGACAATTGCTTGAAGCTGGAAGGCAGAGCTTGCAGTGAGGTGAGATCATGCCACTACACTCCAGCCTGGGTGACAGAGCAAGACTCCAACTCAGGGAAAAAAAAAGAATGAAAGAAAAAATACATGATAGGCCGGGCACAGTGGCTCACGCCTGTAATCCCAGCACTTTGGGAGGCCAAGGTGGGCAGATCACCTGAGGTGACCAGCCTTGCCAACATGGGAAAACCCCATCTCTACCAAAAATGCAAAAATTAGCCAGGTGTGGTTGTGCCACCTGTAATGCCAGCTACTCAGTAGGCTGAGGAAGGAGAATCACTTGAACCCAGGAGGTGGAGGTTGTAGTGAGCCAAAATTGTGCCATTGTCTTCCAGCCTGGGAGACAAAAACTGTCTCAAAAAAAAAGAAAAGAAAATACATGATAAATAAAAATATGTATAATGTTTCCTTTCTCCTTTTTTTTTCCTTTTTGTTTTTTGTTTTTGTTTTTGTTTTTGATACTGAATCTCGCTCTTCTGCTGCCCAGGCTGGAGTCCAGGTTCAAGCGATTCTTCTGCCTCCGCCTTCTGAGTAGCTGGGATTACAGGCGTGCACCACCACGCCCGGCTGATTTTTATATTTTTAGTACAGATAGGGTTTCACCATGTTGGCTAGGATGGTCCATAACCCTTGACCTCAGGTGGTTTATCCACCTCAACCTCCCAAAGTGCTGTCATACAGGCATGAGGCACTGCACCTGGCTCCTCTCTCCTCTTGAGTTGTGTTTGACTCAACAAATTTGTTTTATGTTGATCATACACACTCTTTTGAGTATATCTGACAACTGAAGCAAAAATTACAACACTATCTGATGTCCTAAATGTGTGTAAGAAATATTTAAGACAACAGAGTGCAGAAAATTCTAGCCAGTGCAATAAGGCAAGA